CTGGTGATAGCTACCTAACCATGAATTAAACTGACTACAAACTAACGAAACATCACTGTTTTGAATTGGTAAGTCAGTGCACTTTCAGTGGAAAATACTGGACAGGGTTGTTGTTCACTTCCTCCTTGTCCATTATTGTCTTTAAACAGGCTTCCTTATCATGTGTTACCACTTATAATAGCGGTAGTGAGTGAATTAGTTTGATTTATTACATCACAAATCATTATTTGTTTAGGAAACGTGAGTAATCATGTGTTTTTACAAGGTAATTGAAAAAAATGTTTTTATAATGGGAATCAGGGGGCAGAGGACTGATTTGTGCACTAAAGTACGTCTGATAACAGTAAAAGATTCATCTGAAACTCTACAGTATGTCTCAAATATATTAAATTATGAGTTTCGAGAAAGAGTACCACCCCTGTAATCTGAGTCACATCTTCCTTTACAAGAAAATAAGAATTCAGTCCTCAGTCAGTTTCCGTCATTTGTAATATTTCATCACAGTCATTCGTTTTTTTCATAATTTACATTTTTTGGGGCAAAGTCAAAGGAAGTTTTGTAGCAGGAGTTCAAAAACATATTGGGCAAAACCGGACTGGGCAGTAGATGAGTCAGGGAAATGATGATGGACTGAAGTTTTCCTCTTTCAGGTCTGAGGCACACTGTGGTGGGAAAGTCTGATGAGATGAACTGTTTCTCAGTCACAACCCTCAGGCAAGAGCCACAGTTGTTCCCCATTTCCACCTTAACTCATTCTTCTCCTGCTGCACTGGTTACAGCCCTCTAATATATCACTGTTGATAAATCAACCAGCCGGTGACGTCAGAGATTGGTCTCTGTTCTGTGGATGTTCTGAAGGGGGTCATTGATACATGTGCAGTGGAATAGTGTTATATTTGGTGATAATTTAGTCTGTTTGTCTGTATATATGTGTATATACAGTGTGTATGTGTATATATATATATATATACTGTGTTTCACCTGAAATTTTTTCTTTAAATTCATTTGGTATTATATGTACATGTGTTGTTTTAATCTCTTTCTCTGAACATACTGGGTATATTTTCATTAATTCTAAATGTATTCATAGTAAACCAGTTAGGGCCGCCCCAACTTCCACTGTAGCATTACCTCAGAACACTGTAAACATTCAAAGTACCTCCATGTGTGAGTTAAACCAAGCATCAGTTTTTGGTTTGACGTTGCAATATACTGTAGCACCACCTTGTGTCTTATATAAGACAGTGTACACTCAGAGTAAATTCACAAGAATGGACAGTATTTCTAGGAAGTGAGAGGAACACTTGGCTAATTTTCAACCTCATCTTTATGACCTTTACATATGCTGTCATCATTGTATGCATGTATTTGCAAAGAGTCTAAATCCTACACCTGATGATTCGCGCACAGGCCAAGCAATATGTCTTCTTGGTTTCAAAGCCCAAACTTTAATCTTACTTCTATCTTAGAACAAGAAGGACAGTCAGAGGCGGTTGCTTTATACCTCTGTGAGTGCTAAAATGCTCTCTGCCCTTTTCAAAGAAATGTCCTGGTTAAATACAGGTTTAAGAAGTGTCACATCAGAGGAGTCATCTGAAATGCCCCTTCCTCTCTGGCCAGAGAAAGAAAACTATTGATGGATGAAAAATGAGAAAATAGCAGTTTTGTTATTCTTAAATTCTTGATGCTTTTGAGGCGAAAAAGTAATGTTTGGACAGAAGGGGAAAAACTGTTTTCTACTTAAATTAAAAGAGTTGATTTTGTGTAGACTCACTTTATTAGGCTGAATTTATCAGTCTCACCTCACTGCTGGAATTTTGTAATATGTACGCATGATGTTGTGTTGATAGTATGCTAATGATAAAACTTGCTTTTGCCTTGTGAATCTCCACTCATAACAATGCAACTCTGGAATTTTCCAGTCAGGGAAGAACAGATACAGATGTATGGTACAATGTCTATCAAATGCCATGCCCACATGGTTTCTTGACTTGGGTGACATCTAGTTCCTGTTCATAGAAGCTGAATGTACGTATTGTAAGTGTTGCTTTGGACAAAAGTATCTGCTGTATGAATGTGATGTAAGGCCACAGAGGGTACACAGCTGCCACAAAAAACGGCCTTTACAGGCTAAATAGCCCTCCCTGTGACTGTTAAATTGACATTTGCAATTGGTAAATTCTTTAATCTGAGATCATGATCTATATAACATAATTCTCTAAGGCTGATGGGAATTCACCTTTGGTGGTATCCTGTCATAAAGTGTTGGGCAAGTGCAATTTTTACCCTGTTGGTCCTGATCACAGAACACAGTAGGATCCCCTGGGGGTCCATTAATGTCTGTAATATTCATAGCATCCAAAAGTTTGTCCAGATAAGTGGTAGATGAAGTATTACTTTATTAGGCTGTTTTCTACTTAAATTAAAAGAGTTGATTTTGTGTAGACTCACTTTATTAGGCTGAATTTATCAGTCTCACCTCACAGCTGGAATTTTGTAATATTGCATATGTACACATGATGTTGTGTTGATAGTATGCTAACGATAAAACTTGATTTTGCCTTGTGAATCTCCACTCATAACAATGCAACTCTGGAATTTTACTTAGTCAGGGAAGATCTAACAGATACGGATGTATGATACAATGTCTATCAAATGCCATGCTAACAGGGTTTCTTGTGTTTCTGTGTTACGTTCTTAATTTTACGTCCATTAATGTCTGTAAAATTCATAGCATGATGGCATTCCATCCAAAGCTTTGTCCAGATAAGTGGTAGATGAAGTATTCAAGTTAAGCAATTAGCTACATTTCAATTTATTTTATAACAATGCATCATATTTTATATGGCCATTTGAGTTGTTTTTTTTCCTAATCTGTCAGATAATCTGGAGTTGTATTTATGCTTGCAGCTTGAATTAGAACTGTGTTCTGTTTGTTTTTCTTTGAAACAAAACAGTATGTTGTACCAACAAAAAAAAAGATCACTGCCTGTTGACACGTTGACCTATGGTTTGTGGATTTCAGGCAGGGTTAAGTCAGCACATTGTATGTTTTACTTGTTTTGGTTGCTCAACCTTAACTCTGTGTTTCACTTATAAGTGTAACCATTAGGAAACATTTCACTTAGTTTGTGATATTCTTCAATAATCCAGTTCATGATAATTCACATTTCTTGAATCTGTCCTGCTGGATCTGTGCTTTGCCATGAATTTCAAGCCCCTTAATTCAGATTGGTATGTATGAGCTTTCATGTCCCAGCCCTTCTGTGTATTACACAAGTGTACCTGATAGAAGTTGCAACACAGCAGCTGCACAAGAAATATCGATTTTTAACCTGTTGATTCTGAGGAGTGTTTATTTTGCAAAGACAAAGGTTACATGTTTCACTATCACTGCAGTGACTGCACCATCTCTTTCCCCCTCAGTACAACCACTGAACTGGAGCAAAACATTTAGAATTGATTCAAAGTTCAGGAATGTTCCCCACAGCCTCCTTTTAAACAGTCTAAAGAACATTAGGGAATGAGAGTGAAACTCATTTGCAAAACAAATTATTCATTCTCTGCAAACTCTCGCATGACATTCAGGGATGTAATATTTCAAATAAGTCGAAGTTCAATTTCAAATTAAAGTTAAGCACTGAAAGATTGTGGTCAGAAGTATACCATTTCTTTTTGCTGAACTACAAACATCACACTACTACAGGCAGCTACAAGACCAAAGAAAGATGCTGTTGGACATACAGTAAATACATGGTTTGTGTGGCGATCTACTAGGGTAATATGCAGTGGTAGAAGAAGTACTAAGATCCTTTACTGAAGGAAAACACCATTAATGTAGAAATACTCTACTATATAACATTTAGGAGAATCTATTGACAGAATAAAATATGAATAGCTGTTTTTATTGTGTTTTTGTTACCTTAGAATGAACCGTTTCTATCTACAGAGGCAGCATGTCAACTTGCACTGCTTGTGTTTCCTCACACAAGTTTCTAATAGTGGAGATTTTAATTTAAAACCTTAAAGGACCAGTGTGTAGTATTCGGTGGCATCTAGTGGTTTAAATGCAGATTGCAACCATTTGAATAAAAGCTCAGCCTTCCAAGCATGTAGGAGAAACTAGAGTAGCCACGAAACTCACAAAAAATGTGAATGGCCCTATTTAGTTTTGGTTTGTCTATTCTGGGCTACAGTTGAAACATGGTGGCTCAACATTGCAGCCTCCATAGAAGAGGACCTTCTCCCTCTCTAGTTAAAAACATCTCATTCAGTGAAAACATAAATAAATATGCATGACTATGCATAAATAAATAACCATATTATATTCCATTTCTGCCAATAGGTCCTCCTAATACACACAAATTCCCCTTTAAACAGTACTACAAACAGTCACTACAGCTACAAAGCTTTCTGTTTCTTTACTGTGACGTAATCAAGCCCAGGAGGTGTAAATGTATTTAATGATGACAATGATGACCTGATACTGCTTTGGTCAGCTTGTTCAGCTGCATAATGAGCTATATGTTTGAATAGACTTCTGTTTCATTATTGACATCATTCTTTAACTTTTTGATTATGACTACTGTACAAAGATTAAGCCTAAAGAGTGGATCAAGTGACTTCCAGTCCGCTGACTGTCCCCTATTGATCCCAGAGAAGAGAGTTTGACTGCAGGGCTGATTAACTCCCGACTGATAAGCTCCATTGTGCAAGTCTGTACAGTAGCTGATTGGTTGGCAGATAGATCAACTGATGCAGCATTACTGGGGCCGAAAAAGGGGGTGTGGGTCAATGGTTATATTTACCTATGATGACATGAAGGTCAGTAAGGTTTGTGTCAGTAAGGTTTGTGACAGTGTGTGTGTGTGTGTGTGTGTGTGTGTGTGTGGGTGTGTGTGTGGGAGGGAGAGAGAGAGAGAGAGAGAGAGAGAGAGAGAGAGAGAGAGGGTGTGCTTATAGTAAACAGTAGCAGAATATAAAAGGTCACCATATCCCTCATGTCATCACATCTCTCCTACGTGAGTGTGTGAGTGTGTGTGTGTGTGAGAGTGTGTTTGAGAGACAGAGTAATCCCAGGCCTTTACCATGAAGCACTGTGTGTTATTGCCGCTGCTGCTGGCGTTGGGGTGCATGCACGTCCACGGTGCTCCGGTGGACCAGGCTGGCATGGAGCAAGGGTCATGTGATGACGCAGCAGCGATTGGCGCTGCAGGACTGGCTCTCACCAAGATCAACCAAGACCGGCAGGATGGCTACATCTTCAGCCTGCACCGCCTGTCCAGTGTTCACATGACGCCACATGTAAGTCCCGCCACTGAGTGCCGCCATGACACTGAACCCAGACCAGCTCATTTAATGTTCTTGGTGCTGTACTGTTTCCCTAGAGAGCAGACCAAGGCCATGTAATCATTTCAGTTAAAAGACAGGGCAGGTTTGATTATCAGGGTACTCATTTTTTTTCTGGGTACAATCCATTTTAAATTTCCTTGCTGAGATCTTGAAATGCGAAACCATCAGAAACAGATGAAGACTGGATACCATGAGAGAAACTTAAGTTGTGCTATCTTTAATGTCCGTTTGTCTATTTCATTGTAAAGTGCATTGCATTGTAGGTTAAAGTTAAACCAGGAGATAGCTCTACAAATGGACAGTTAGGTAATGTTCAATCCTGTCAAGAAAAGGATTTAGATAAGTGGGTTTAAGATAGTATGTTGAAATCCTGTCTGGTGGGTTTTTAAATGTATTTCCAAACCAAATGTCCATCATGGGGTTAAAAGTTGATTAAGAAACCCACGCTCAATATAGTGGCCAATTTAACTGCAGCGAATCTGTAGTGTTGACCTGAAGTGACAACGAGTAGGTAAGACAACCGCAAGAACGAAGCAAGAAGCTAGTTAGCAATACATAAAAAGCTGAGGCAAGGAAAATTTATAAGAGAAGATTAAAGAATAAGTAAGTAAGTAAGTAAGTAAGGCTTTATTTATATAGCACCTTTTTGGCACAGAGATCCAAAGTGCTTTACAAACAACAAATAAACATAAGGGTATAACCATACCCATCATCAAACAAACATAGGGAGCATGTAAATACAAACAAAGAAAGATAAAACAAGAGAGAAAGAATAAATTAAAAGAGAGACGACAGATGAGGAAACAAACAAGGAGATGTATAAAAAGGCTTGCCTGTGGAGGTGGGTTTTGAGTGACTTAAGGTGGGAAATTATAAATCAGGATTTAGTCTGCCAGAGCTTATCTGGCAGGTCGTCCCTAAATATGTTTTAGGTTTTGAAATTCATTATAAGTTAATTATGAGTGATTCAAATCACAAATAGCATCAAACATTGAAGTCAAGGATGTAATTAATGATGTGTCAGCTATGTAGCAAAGACAGATCTGTATTGATTGTGTGGAAATTAGGCGATACCACGGATTACTGGAAGGGTTACAGTTGTCATGGAAACATTAATTTATCATCAGTTGAACCATCACACAGTGAAATGAGAAGATCATTTCCATCAGGAAGTAATTGACTATAATTATTGCTTGATAATTGTGTGGTATGCGTACATTCTGAAGTGTGTGTGTGTGTGTGTGTGTGTGTGTGTGTGTCACAGGGAGGCAACGGCATGGTTTTCTACCTGACTCTGGACGTCGTTGAGACCAACTGCAGTGTCCTCAGCAAGAAAGACTGGAAGACCTGTGAGGCTCGTCCCACACATGACACACCGGTTAGATAACACACGTACACACACTCTTGCATGCACATATGTTCCTAAACAGGTCCACATCTAGTGTATACTGTTATGGCCTTTTTTTTTTTTTACAACAAAAAAAAAGTCTTTTTATCATTATGTTGTGTTGTGTGTTTTAAATTCTATTATGTTTTATTTGCTTGCATTCATGTTTTATACTTTCCTGCTCTTCCATAAAGATTAGTTAAGATAAGTTAGCAGAAAACAACTTCTAAAATAAAAAAAGTAATATAAAAGTAGTAAAACAAAAATCTGAATATAAATTAAGTCTTCTTTCTTTGTATATGTGCAGCACATTAAATATTGCATGTGTGTATTATTGTTTTGGTCTTTGCAGGTATATGGACAGTGCAAAACTGCCATCTTCATCAATAAAGTGCAAAGAGTGGTCCGTCTCTACAAATACAACTGTGTTATCAGACCAGGTAAGAAAAATACTAATAATAACAGCAATTGTTCTTTCTTTAATTAACATTAATTCATCTTAAAATTCTGCCAGTGTGGTGAAACAGTTCAATATCTTCTCAGTTTAGTTGAGCTTGTTTGACTCTCTTGGAAAGAAGTGAAACATATGACAGATTTTTAATAAACTACCTCAGATTTGGTGCATTGCAAAACAATAATAAGGCACATGCACGTTGAAATTCAAAACCACTTTCCTCTCTGCTCAGTTCCTGCAGCTAAGGTGGCTGAAGTCTGCCCTGACTGCTCGTCTCCCATCGCCATGGACAACGCTGAGGTTCAGAAGGCACTGTCTCTCTCGCTGGAGAAGTTCAACAAGGAGACCGGGTTGGCCAATCGTTTTGCTCTGCTCAAAGTCACCCGCGCTACCTCCGGGGTGAGTTTTCCAAATGTCCAGAACACAAATGTATCTCATGACCTACTGTATCCTCCTGGGTAAATGGTATGGTGACTGATGGTGACTGTTTGTTCAGAGGGAGGATGAATTCTCTTGTGGCTAATACCAAAAATATCAAAACTCTCGAGGGAGTCACTAAATTGTGGATGAATCAAAAAATATAATTAGCATTGTTTCTTTCACATAAACATTGAAAAACTTGTTGCAGGAGCAGGTGAGCAAACAAAATTACCATTCTAGAAGGTTCAACAAACTTACCATTACATAGAGTTGTACTAAATCAAAGTGATATTCCACCCAAACATGTTTTATGTATTCAAAACATTATTAAACACCGGATTTATGTCAGTTATTTATTCAAAATCTGACAATTTCCAACATAAAATTAGCACTGAATCTTCCAGAGAAACACTTTTCTGAGGTTAATCCAAATGCTTGCTATGTAATAAACAGAAATATTTTTTTCCAAAAATGGTTTAATCCACTCCTCTCATAATCCTCATGACCGACCCCTTTGAACTCCCATCTTAAGTGTGTTCAGTGGTCCCACCTCCTGCTCTTCCATCCGTCAGTTATTTTGATTATTCCTTTGTTAAAAGTTTTTCTTTCTGTGTGTGTGTGTGTGTGTGTGTGTGTGTGTGTGTGTGTGTGTGTGTGTGTGTGTGTCCAGATGGCCATGAAGATGTATTACAATGTAGAGTACACCATCCAGGAGACCACCTGCCCCAAGAGCGCAGAAGCAGCTGATAAGTGCCCACTCATGGAGTGCGAGTTCGCTGTGAGTCGTGACAAATTGTTGTTTCACAGCATTTTTGAACACAACACAATCTCAAACACTGTTTAGTTAAGCTTGCAGGATCTGTTTCGTATGTTAAAGAGATAGTAATCCTTCATGTTAATTATTGCTTTAGTCCTTCAGTTAAACAGTCAGTCCATGTGTCATGTCTACTTCTTCTCAATGCATCTCAACTCTTGTACTGTCACCAAACCCTGAGAGAGATTCAAGACAAGTTTTTATTCTGGATTTCCATTTGTGTTCATATCAGTTAGCAAGTTTATTCCAGCAGAGCATTCTTCTGAAATTCAGTTGTTCAACTATTAAACTTGACTTTGCCACAGGCATAACCATACCTCTGCTCCATTCTCTCCTCCCTTACTTGTTTTTGCTTGTTCTTCGCTCCTCAGCACAAGGGCTTCTGTAAGGCATCCCTCTTCTACTCTCCCACTAATGATGCTGATACCAGTGTAGAGTGTGAGATCTATGAGCCTGAGGTAAGACTCACTAAGCCATTATAAAACACACAGTGTCACATTGATGTACTGTATTTCTTTCACCTGTCTTCTTTCTTATAGTACAAGAAAAAAACAAATGCTCATGTTTTAAATGAACTAGAATTTAATTTATAAGAAATCAATTAAACATGAATCTGTCCCCACTGATTAGACTTGGATACAACTATTTAATTTCTGATTTGAACAGTTCTAGTTCATGGTTCATCTAATTGATGAGATCTGGTGCAGGGTTGGCACAATGGAGCAAAAACTTCAATTAATCAATCAAACAGGTTGCCTTGCACTGCCTGACCTCTTTAAAGCCATTATTTATATACCATACAATGTACAAAACTACAACAATAAGATCCCAGTAATAAAGTGGAATTCTCCTTCACAAATAGCTCCGAAAGCAACACATCCTCCTACTTAAACGACAGAATAGGTTGAATGACTCCCAAAACGAATGAGTACATTACATGGTTATCATTGTGAAACAGTTACAGTTTGGTTAGGTTTAGAAAAAGATCATGGTTTGGGTTAATACATATGGTATGTTATGTAAGTAAGAGTTAGGGTTAGTAAGTCACATACTTAATATAACTTGAACTTTAAATAAGTTAATGTTTGGTTTCCCATGGGACCCCAGTCTCCTGGGTAAAAGTCTCGTGGGTTTTTTTACCTATCCATCTATCTACCCCAAACTCCTCTATATGTGGACTTTCTCGCTTTTCATACTGCTCCAGTCATAGTTACTACGGCCACTAGAGGTCACCACCTAACAATAAACATACATATATGTCGTAATAAGCCGCTAGCACAATCGACCTATACAGCATTCTTGTTATGCAGTTTATGCTGTATCTTTATGGTTTATAACCATGGTGGTTATATCAGAACTGGTATGCACCATACATCACAATTTTTTTTTTTTTACTGTGTTTTCCAGGCTGCTGAGAGAGAGAAGAAACTGCACCTGCTAGGCGGAGAGACTGACCACAGCCACACTGACACACACGGACACAGCCACACCCACGACCAAGCACACGCTGCCGACCAGTCTCACACACATGACCACGTGCACGACCACACCAAGAGCCACTCTCAACACAACAGAACCCTCCAGCACGCTCACGACAGCGACCACCACCACACACATGACCACGAGGCAGGCAGCGGCCACAGGCACGCTCATGATCACTCCCATGACCATGGGCATGGTCACGATCACGTGCACACTCATCACGCCAAGGCACACAACCACAGTGGTGACTCACCCAACCACCACCACGACTACAAGCATGGTGACGCAGTACACACCCATGAGCACGACCACGAGATCGCACTGGACCACGACCACAAGCACGCTCACCTTCACGAGCACGAGCACCACCACCATCATCATGACCATGACCACGAGACCACAGTCCACGACCACCCAGAGGGCACAGTGAGGATGCTGCCCGCCATGGACCAGCCCATGACCCTGCCTGCCTTCCCTGATGTCCCCGTCGGTGGCCCAGAGGTGGGAGTCACCCTGCCTGCCAAGCCCAATCCCCAGATCCCTGAAGAGAATGAACCCGTCATCCTGCCCTTCCCTACCTCAGTCTCAGCCAAGTGCCCCCCTGCAGTGATAGGCACCACCCTGGTGGAGCAAGTCTTCAATGAGGACCCCATGTTCAAGCCAGCTGCATAAAGTAGCTTGTGGAACCCGCCTGGGAACTGATCTTTAAAAACTCACATAAAAACAGAGACTGAAGGGTAGTGAAGACAGGAATTTGCTCCAGACAAAATGGTGGTTTATTATAAGCACCGAAAATTTAACTTTTCTTGTCTCTCTTCACTTAAACCATCTACCCTACCAAAAAACTACATTTACATCAACATCATTTCTCTATTGGTGGGAAACTGGTGCAAAATAATCTGGTCATTTCCTTTTTTACAATCCTCAGAGACTACAAAACTGTAAACACTGACCACAATATGCCCATATTCACATGGCGGGACCATCTTCAACAGTTCTTCATCTTGAGTCACTACAATCAAGCCATCAAACATGAAAGTTTTCTATGTTTGCATGTTATCTAAATAAAAAAATAATTTGATATACCACAAATACTCATCCAGTGTTTTCTGTATTGATCAAAGCCAGCCATTTTGTGTTGATTCCATGCGTGTCCCCAACCCCCACAACCCCCAGTGTTTCCTGCCAGATGATCTCAGTCCTGTCACTTTCTTCAAAAAAAAGAACAAATGAAGGGTTTACATAAAAGGCAGCAGATGGATTTTCAAAAGGATAGTAGGTGTTTTATTAATTTGCTGACAATAGGGCAAAGAAAGTTACACCATTATAAAATTTTAAAACGCGTCCTTTCCTGATGTAAGTATATATTTACTGTGTAAGTATATGTGTACCCACAGCGCATAATATCTAGATTTTCAGGTGATTATATACTAATACCTATAAATATTTTATTACATTTCTGCCACAAAATTATCGTAAATCTTACACAATGGACCTTTTTAACATGTTATAGAATAGTAATGAATGTTATGAATAGTATAAGAATGTTTATGGTAAATATTCTTTAATAAAGTTACTTGTTTAAGAAAGCTGCCTTCTAAGTACGTTTGCGTACCCATACCGGTGCAAAATCTTTTAGTCACCAAATCAGTAATCTGTGAATGCTTCTTATTGCACTGATTTTGTATGCTATCTTGCCAAATAATTTCATTTGCATTTGGTGGGAACATACCATTGGATAGTTCAGACCTCCACAGGCAGACGGATACTCTAAATTTGTTATTTGAATAATAGCGAACTTTTCATCTGTGTTAGAATTCACATAGTAAAAGCTGATTTTTGGAGAATATCTAAATTGAAAATATTAGGGCTATATGAAAAATTATAAATTGGCAAAACGTTAAGTCAGTGACAGAGTCACTGAGTTATTCTATTAAAATGTATCATTCTGCTAAATACCACCAAGAAAGAGCTTAACATGTATATAATATCTGCATGTTTGAACTAAATTTGTATGATATGTTCAAAGATTATAGCAGATTAAATTTAACAGCCAAAGCCTGGAAGATTTTGGCAAGCCAGCCGGCTATATGAGATTGTATGGAATATGAATTTCAATATGGTGCAGATTGGGTGGCGAAAGGGCTCTCTGTCATTTTGATGCGTTTCATTCAATGTAAAACATGTATGTCATTACAGATGTGAGTAGTTTCTCCGTGTGTTTTTAGTCACTATGCTGTATTGACACACCAGTAATTTTGGGCCACAATGCTATAAGCCTCATGCCCTCCTTGAATAGTGTGTGTGTTCAAGCACCAACACTGCCCACTAGAAGTGTATGGCACAACGTCACCGTGCTTTGGGGAGTGGGTGTGTAGACCCCAGCCAATAACAGCACGCAGGATGTTAACCTAGCCACCAATTGCCAGATCGTAACCATCTGTAACCAGGAGGAAGCTAAACCCTACTCATTCTGCGTTGAAGTCTGATCAACATAAACGGGTAACTGCACTAACACATAAAGGAAGGTATGTATTTAGCTATATTTATAGCAAAAATGTTGGTATTTGTCTTTTTTGTGAAAATATTTCGATAGAAGATAATGAGAAGTGGTTTACGCTGTAGCCATTTGCAAAGTTTCTACATTTTGGCCCATGTTTTCACCTCCACTTGTACTTGTACAAGGGGAGTTGATTCCAAGCGGTCAACAGCTCCCATACTCTGTATAGGAGCAAGCTACAGACTTTTTACATACTGTAGATTTTTGATGAGGTGTTCCTTTTAACAATAATATTGTCACATCAAAGAAATTAAATTAGGTGTGCTGTATTTGATTCTGCTTTTCTTTTATTTAGTTAAATTCCCCTGTTCCCCAGTGAACTATGACCCCTCAGCCAGTCACTGACCTACCAAGCAGCAGATAACAGCTGTTTGTTCATCCTTTACCATCTGTCCAACCCTTTTTGTGATTTCGGTGTGTGTGTGTGTGTGTGTGTGTGTGTGTGTGTGTGTGTGTGTGTGTGTGTGTTGGAGGATGAGTGTGTACCTGCTAGTCCTGTGTCTGGCTTTGCTGCAGCAGGAGGGGGGAGCCAGTTCAGACCCTCCAGGCTGCAATAGCACTGAGGTGGTGAGGGTGGCGGAAGAGGCCCTGGAGCAGATCAACCAGGACCGGACACACGGATATATCCTGAGCCTGAACAGACTGTACGACGTCTCTCATACTCCTGAGGAGGTGAGGGTGAACTCTTGTACACATGCATGCACACACCGTTTTTTACACCATTTTCCATCTTGACAGACTTATTTACAGAGAGAGGGCAGAAACAGTGGATGGATGAGGAGCTTTGTTTGCAGCGAAATAAGAAGAAAAGTAACTGTGTTAACGTGTGTGTCCAGGAGAAAGATGGGTCACTCTACAAACTGACCATTGATGTCTTGGAGACCAGTTGCCATGTCACCAGCAGGAAACCATGGAAACAATGTGGTGTCAGAGGTATTGGTAGTGCACCAGTAAGTACAACATGGTGATGTATCCTCACTCTTAAAATAACCTCAACCCAGGGCCAAACTATAACTGAGCCTGCATTTTGTTTTTCATTCATTTAACACTTTATGCTTTTTTTAAGTTTTTTGTTCAGTTTTTATTCACTTTCCATCCGAAAGAAACCCTGAGATTTGTTTGTTTGTTGACCTGGTTTAGTCATTTGTGCATGTGTCTTGCTGTGTTTTAATTCTTCAGGTGTATGGAGAGTGTGATATGTCTGTCTATGTTGACTCTCAAGTCACACTTCAAAACTACTCCTGTGCAATTCGTGAGGGTAGGTCTATGGAGTCTGCGACTTCCTAGATGGACTGTTAAATAAACTCTTTGCCACAGCTACATTCTATTGACCGCTGACCCTGTTCATTCTTGTTTTTAGTTTCTGCCAGGGGACTGTTGCGTACTTGTCCGGACTGTCCCACAGTTATCGACCTGAATGGGCCCCAAGTCAAGGAGACAGCAGATCTTTCCCTCCAGAAGTTCAATAACGAGAGCCGCCTGACCAACTTCTTTACTCTCGAGAACATTACAAGAGCCAGTATGCAGGTTAATAAAAAAAGGAAATGATCAAGTAATCAACTGAATGATGTTTGTTTTGAGTGGAGATGCACAGAGATAAGGCTTAATGTCAAAATCTAAGACTACATTTCCCACAGATGATGTATATGATTTGTGTGCTTTGTCAGTGGGTTGTTGGTCCATCCTACTTTGTGGAGTTCACCATTGTGGAGACGGTGTGTTCAAAGACAACAGATGCCAGTGAACTGAGCGACTGCCCACCTATGGACTGTCAGTTTGCTGTGAGTCACACACACAAATGTATTAAGAGTGTTTTAAGACACTGATTTACTGTACCTGATCAGCGCAAGTTCATCGGCCTAAAGTTAAACAAGTATAAAGAATCACCAAATGGCTGTTAGATGCTTATTTTTCCAACATGGAAGACAGTTAAGAATTCTCCTTGGAGAATATGTGTGAGCTTTACCAATGGGAGAAATAGTCATAGCAAGTCATATTTGCAGTTTACGTATGCATTTCCTGATCTGCATGATTTGCTACATATTCTTTTACTATTTAACATAATTGTTCTTCATTGATTATTACTGATTGCAGTTTTAAGGTCCTGATCCCATGTTTGCCTGCTGCTGAGAGTACTGATATTACTTACAGAGAATAGTTTATATGTAATGTAATGTTAGTCAGCAGGCAGACCTGGTGAATTAGTGTCTCAATCTGTTATTGCTATTACTATTATTAATGTTCCTTAAGTTATTTATATTCTTTATATAGTTCCATATTGCACAGTTTATTTGTTTCCAAGGTCTTTGTACAACTTCCCCCATTGAAGTGAGTAATTGTTCCTGAATTTGAATGTCATTTTCTTAATTTTATAAAACTGTTATCAAAATAAGTATTGTTCAGTAACCAGTATCAAAGTCAAGGTATCGGCACCAGTATCCATCTATCCAGTATCTAAAGACATATAAAGATACCCACCCCTACCACTCATGTATACATTTACAAATGAACTTCGTTCCTGAATATTTAATTTATCATGTTTAAACTTCTTTGTATGTGTCTTGTCTGGGCTGTCGAGGTTGTTGTGCACACAAATTTTGAATCCAGACTACTCTTGATCTGTTTTCTCTCAGCATAGAGGCTTCTGTAAGGGCTCACAATTTGGCCGTAGTTTCGACAAGCCATCTCAGAAGTCTATACGGGTGAACTGTGAGATCTACGAACCTCAGGTACCTGTTACAACTGCAATGATGCACCACATAATAGGGCTTAATATATGATATCTATATGAACAATAAACCAGTTATTCTAATCCTCGTACCAATCGATTAAAGGACCAGTTTTAAGGTTGCAGTGGCATTTAGGGAGGAAGCTGCAGATTGCACCCACTTGAATACAGTGTGTAGGACAGGGTGGCCCCGAAAACTTGTGAAAAACATGAATCACAGTATCTGGCGTCAGAGTTTGGTTTGTTCTTTCTGGGCTGTGGTAACATGGTGGTTCAGCATGGTGAGGACAGCAAAGAGGACCCACTCCCTCTGTAGATAATATATATTTTCAGATCATTATACACTAATGAAAATATATCTATTAATATTATGTTCCATTTATGCCAGTAGAGCCTCCTAAATGTTACGCACTGGGTCTTTAATTGCATCTCTGATATCCTGATATATGAAATTTAGATTCATGGAGGCTTTAAGAGAGCATTTCTTCAAAATTGCCATAATAAATACAGTTTATTTTAACACTGAATCTAAGACTAAAGTGATGGTCGCTTGCAGTGACAAAACACACAGAGAAATACCACCCAATTCAGAAGCTCTACAGAGCTTTTTAGTCTTTTTAGAGAGAGCCCTCATCAATATATCACGTTGGCTGTTTAAGCTGATCGCAGTAAACTGTAAACTGTCTCTTTCTCTGTTCTCTCCCGCTGCAGGCTGCCGCTGTGGAGGAGCAAGCCCATGCGAAGGCCAACAGCGGGCACACTGAGCATCAGCACGACAGCCACACACACCTGCACCCTCATGAGCACATGCACTCAGTCACACCCAGCTCAGGCCTCACTGTCTCCAAGCCACAGGGCTCCCTCGGGACTGTGGTCAATAAGCCTGCTCCTCTCAGGTCTTCCCCAGCAGCCAGCTCCTGCCCCGGCCAGGAGAAACTCAACATTAAGATCATGTATAACATGGAGAACTGATTGGCTGGGCCAGGACGGTTGATCTTTGATCAGTTACTTAGCTACATTTTACCTGCATGTTGTAATTAGTTTAGAAAGACAACTGGGACAGGACAGTAACCAACAATAATGAAATTTCATTGATTGTTTGATTAAAGCATTTACATAACTGGAAGTTATGTGATTTTCTGGCATAGTCTGTGTGTGTGTATATGTATATGTACCGGCGTAAGATCACCCATTGCCTATTTGTTGTCACACCAATGCACAAATCTCTGCACTAAATTTTCCTGGGAACACCTGAGGGATTGCCCAATACCTGGGACAATCATTACCATCACTTAAGGTTCTTATGCAATGGAAATATTGTTTACTAGGCTACTCCAGTACATAGGACAGACCTTAGATACTTGGCAACCACAGATATTTCTAGTCTGCTCCGCTCAGCAAACCCTTTCACCCGACCATGGTATAAGAGAACATAATTCTTCTTCTCAGGGTGGATTTTTGTGAACTCATTGTACAATGTGAAGAGGACTAGGGAGCTGACACAGCCCTGAGGGACACTAATGCTGATTTGTCTGGGCTCTCAGAGGGCATTATTGACCCCTACACTCATGGTACAACTACTAAAAATCTTAAAATGAATTCTGATAAAGATCTGTGGGGTCTCTATAAATAATTTTATATGGAGTGCAGTCCAGATCTATTCTATTTAAAAAGTGTTTTAAGATAACTATGCATATAAAATTGCATTGAATTGAATTTAACTGAATTTCTGAACTATCCCTTCCTTCAGAGGAGAAGTCATGGGGTTCAAATTACCTTTTGCATAATTTTCACTTCTGTTCTGGTTCTTAAATGCCTTTTCTTGCCATTACCTCATTAATTATGTATGGTTTGTTGTTGTATATGATCAGTAACAGTCTCAGTAGCATTGTCCATATCCATCTTGTGAAAGATACTCCACTCAGTAATATAAAATTGAATAATGTACTAATATATCATTACATATGATTACAGTCAAACAGGGCAGGCAAACACATTTTTTGCTGTATGGTTTACTCCATTTTCCATATTGTGTTGTATGCTGCAAATGCTTAGTAGTCATTATTACATTATGGGTCGGGCCACACCCATCTTAAAACTCTCTCTTAATTTTGATCTCAACTACACACCTGTAAGGTTTCATGACTGTATCTTGCACGGTTGTGATGCTATTGTGTAGAAAATAGCACAGACCACAGACAGATATTTAAACCTGGCAAAGGACTCAAAGTCGTCTCAGTGGTAGTTCCCGCTACAGTTGATGTTTCTAGGAGCACATTTTCCCATGATCGGAGCCTTCCACAGTGTCCCTGACAACGAAAACATGCAGTAGGTTTTCGATGAGGCATTGCTTTAAATGAGGCTCTAAGGAATTAAATAATAGTGTCACTTAAAATGTAATTAGGTGTACTGTATTCTATCAGCTTTTTTAAATTCCCCTGTTCCCCAGTGCACTATGACCTTTCAGTCAGACTGAGTCAGCCATTGGCCTACCGAGCAGCAGATAACAGCTGTTTGCTCATCCTTTGGGAAAGAGGGGAAAGTCCAGCAACAGTCTCACATGTGTCCGTCCAAATCTTGTTTGGAAAAACTAGGATTACAGGTCTTGCAAAGGATTTACAGACCAGGGTCTGTGTTAGTCTAAATGTTAAAATATCTACCAGGATAGGTTTTCAATTGAGTGAAATTAGGGTTTTTACGTAGCCCATGTTGGAGGATGAGTGTGTACTTGCTGGTCCTGTGTCTGGCTTTGCTGCAGCAGGAGGGGGAAGCCAGTTCAGACCCTCCAGGCTGCAATAGCCCTGAGGTGGTGAGGGTGGCGGAAGAGGCCCTGGAGCAGATCAACCAGGACCGGACACACGGATATATCCTGAGCCTGAACAGACTGTACGACCTCTCTCACACTCCTGAGAAGGTGAGGGTGAACTCTTGCACAAACACACACACACATACGTGCACAAAAGTTTGAACAGGGTTCTAAACCGTATTGCATCTTGAAATATGCAACAGTATTTACACAAAATAGGGCGGAAACAGCGGATGGACAAGCATTGTGGTTGCAGGGAAATGTAAAACTAACTCTGTGTGTGTGTGTGTGTGTGTGTGTGTGTGTGTGTGTGTGTGTGTGTGTGTGTGTGTGTGTGTGTGTGTGTGTGTGTGTGTGTGTGTGTGTGTGTGTGTTTGTGTATCCAGGAGAAAGGTGGCTCACTCTATAAATTGACCATTGATGTCATGGAGACCAAATGCCACATCACCAGCAGGAAACCATGGAAACAATGTGAAGTCAGAGATATTGCTGATGTTCCAGTAAGTACCACATGGTGGCGTATCCTCACTTTTAAAAATAAGCTCAACCTGACCTAATTTGCATTTTTTAATATACTTTTAGACTGATGCCAAAGTTCTGCTTTGTTTAGCACTTGCAAGTTAAATTTATGCTTTTTTTAAATGTATCAGATCATTTTATTTAAATTTTCACGAGTCAAAATTCCAAATCCTTTTCCTGGTGCAATGGATTCCAAATCTAAAAAAGAAATTAAAAGGCTCAAATAAGTTTTGTAGCTCCAGAAAGCTTTTTATTTTATTTTTTACCAAAAATGGCTCTTCTGTACACCTACATCTGTGTGTTTGCGTCCTGCAGGTGTATGGAGAGTGTGAGATATCTGCCTACGTCGACTCTCAAGTCAAACTTCAACACTACTCCTGTGCAGTTCGTGAAGGTAGACGGACGGACTCATTCAGACTCATCTGGGATTATTCTTCCTTCATTACAGGATAACACAAAAACACATTGTGATAGAACACGTTGAAAGTCTATTTTGTTGGCACTTTTCCACTTAGCTTCTTCCCCACTAGTGAGGTGTGAAATTAAGATGCTGATATACACTGAATTGTTTCTCTATGCTCTGTCCTATAATACCTCCCTAAGGCAAGTAAACATGTCATCCATGAATGATTATGCAGGGTTGCTTTTAAAAAAATACTGACAAAATACTATACAGTTTAATTTTTTTCACAATTTGTCTCAGTGACTGAGAACACATCTGAATAAAGCAAGCTACCAGAGGGAAGGGAGGGGTGCTGAGGATAGCTGGAAGGGTTCACACTGCAGGATGGAGGTTGGGGGAGGAGTACCTGTCATTGTATAAAGTTCCAGGGTTAAATCCTTAACAGCCTCAGCTACAATTTAATACTGTTAATTCTTGTGTTTAGTTCCCGCCACTGCAGTGGTGGATGTGTGTCCGGACTGTCCCACAGCTGACAACCTGAATGAGCCCGTCGTCAAGGAGACCGCCAATCTCTCCCTGCAGAGGTTCAATGAAGAGAGCCACCTGACCAACTACTTTACTCTGGAGAACATCACAAAAGCCAGTTCACAGGTTAAGAAAACAATTAAAAAATCAACTAAATAATATTTGTTCGGGGTATCTATGGCCAGAGATTAGGGTTCATGTTTGCAAAAATGCATACAGACGATCTGTCTCTTGTTCTTTGGTTCTTATCAGGTTTGTCCTTCTAGCCTTCTTAGGGCTACATCTTCATTGTTCTGTACTCTTTAAAGGATTGGCTACTAAAATATGGCATAACTAATGTCTTTTTACTTTGAAAAGCGTCAGGGCTGGGTTTTGATGTCGTATGTGCAGCAGTGGCACTTTTATCAGGTTGATTATATTTGGTCATAACACACTGTGTGAGAAAGTTTAGAAATCTTGACTGAGCAAAAACTTTGCAACCGAATTATTATTTTGGTAAGCAGTTTATAGGAGTGTTATAAATACGTATACACATGTATGTAAGTATGATGTCTTTGTGTGTCAGTGGGTTGTTGGTCCATCCTACTTTGTGGAGTTCACCATTGTGGAGACAGTGTGTTCAAAGAAAACAGATGCCAGTGAACTGAGCGACTGCCCACCTATGGACTGTCAGTTTGCTGTGAGTCACACACACACAAATGTATTAAGAGTGTTTTAATACATGATTTACTGTACTTAGAAAAAGTTCTTCAGACTTGTCCAAGCTATTCAACTGTTGTGGATTTCTTTGCTCTCAGCATAAAGGCTTCTGTTTCGGCTCACACGTAGCCATTGAGGACGAGTTTGAAATCAGACTGCCTGTTGGAAAGAAGGACAGCTCATTTCGGAAGCCTGTAGAGGTGAAGTGTGAGATCTACGAACCTCAGGTACCAGCTTCAACTGCAGTGATGCACCACACACTTAATATATCTGATCTGCATGAAGAACAAACTAAGTCTCCTTATCCATGTACCAATCTGTTATTGTATCTCTGACATCTTGATATTCATCCTGAGATTTAGATTAAGGGAAGCTTTAAGAGAGGTTTTCTTAAAAGTTGCAGTAATGAATAGAATTAGTTTTACTGTCTCTTTCTCTGCTCCCGCTGCAGGCTGCCGTTGTGGAGGAGCAGGCCCATGCGAAGGCCGACAGCGGGCACACTGAGCATCAGCACGACAACCACACACACCTGCACCCTCATGAGCATATGCACTCAGTCACACCCAGCTCAGACCTCACTGTCTCCAAGCCACGGGGCTCCCTCGGGACTGTGGTCAATAAGCCTGCTCCTCTCAGGTCTTCCCCAGCAGCCAGCTCCTGCCCCGGCCCGCACAGACACAATCTGGGTTTGGGCAAACTCAGGCTCTGATTGGCTGGACCAGGAGAGATGATCAGTTACTCAAGCTACATTTTACTGCATGTTGTAATTAGTTGAGAAAGACAAGAAATTGTAACTTAAAGTAAAATATGGGAAGAAAATAAGGTATACCGACAATAATCATTGTAAATAATCCGATCACACTGATTGATTAAAGCATTTACATAACAGGAATTTGTATCATTGTCTTGCATAACATGGAAATATATAAATACATATCAGATTAGTTTAAATTAGATTCAACTTTATTGTCATTGCACAAGTATAGGTACAAGACAACGAATTCATAACCAGAAGTGCAAAGTAGTAAAGTGCAGAGTCATTTACATATGTTCAAAAGATGTAAAAAAAAAAAAAAAAAAAAAAAAAATTTAATAACATTATAGATATATATATAAATATACTGGCAAGATATTTACATTATGAATAGTATTAACAGAATGAACGCAGTGAGGTAAATACACTAAGATATATACGGCAATAGTTCTGTGGGGACATTTTAAAATTACTTTTATTAATTACAAGCTAATTGTTATATATTTAACCATAAAAGGTCACTTACACCACACATAGCCTACTTCACTAGTACATGAGGGTTGGACAGAGAAGTCACGAGAGGCAAAGATACTCCGTGAATAAAAGAAGAAGAAGCCATGAAAAGACTCTCCTTATCCTGAGAATCATCACATGTTGAGTGACAACAGTCTGTAATAAAAATATGAATGAACTATAGTAACAAACCCCTCCTCTTTCCCCGTACGACGTCAAGTATAAGGTAACACTATAGAGTGGCCTCCTGTCGCTGTCACCTCAAAATTAGCTCGCCGTGATCGTATAGTGGTTAGTACTCTGCGTTGTGGCCGCAGCAACCCCGGTTCGAATCCGGGTCACGGCAGTCTTTTGAGGTCCACCAAGGCTTCCGTCCACTGTCTTAATAAAAAAAGTGTTGGTATCGAGGTTTAACTTTACACAAAGTTCCTGAAACTATTTCTAATAAATAACCACAAAAAAGTTCCACATAAACATCAGCAAGCAGTTGCTGTTGACGTGTACAAACTGATTTTAGGCTTGAAATTACAGTTAGTCAGAAAAAGATAAAAGTAGAATTACTTTACAGACATTGTGAGTAGATAAAGTTTAAAAAGGGGCAGAGGAAATGGAAAAGAGAGAAATCCCCAGGATGCTTTGAGTCCTCAGCCTTTGAACATGGATGGCTGACACAACGTAGCTTACATAAAATTCACATCATTTTCAGTTTACAACTTTTTTTTGTCCAATTTATTATAACACAAAATAAAACAACAGCAACAAGTTTCAGTATTCGGATCCAACTACACAGTGTGCTGGAGTTATTGTGTGTGTATCTCAGTCTGTGTGTGTGTGTGTGTGTGTGTGTGTGTGTGTGTGTGAGTGTGTGAGTGTGCAGACATATGTCATCAAGACTTTTCTCCTTGGCTGTTATATCAGACTGAAAATGAATCACACCTCTTGGCCTTGATAGGTTTACTGCAGCGCGTTAGGCACCGGACTGAGTCAAGAGGCCCACAACAGAAGAGGCTTGCTCTGATTTGTGGCGACAGTTTCATAGGCTTGTTAAGGCCGAAGCACACAATGTGCTTGGTAGACGGAGAGAATGTGAAACAGTTCAGGGGAAGAACAAATCTATTGGACCTCAGGCTCCGGGGGAAGCTGGCTGAATACAAATTCATTTACTCATTTATAAAAGAGTCCTCTGGCTGCCGAGCAACAAAGTGACACATTTTTACTGTTACCCAACACAGAGTGATCCAAGGAAAGGAAGGGTCACTCATAAAGGCGCAGTAGCTCATACAGTGTCATATAGTACTCTTGACACTGGTGATTAATTAAAGGCAGTGCAACAGAGATGTAATCACTTTTATCTGTTTATAATGTGCAAATAAATGTTTTGTTTTCTTTTAAATGTTAATTAAACTGTAGAAAGGCAATTAGTTATAGAGATAGCCTCTGTGTGAAAATACACATCATCAGTTATGTTATGTTGTCTGGATGCAATAAAATGAATGTATGATATGTATTATTCACATTGTAAAAATAATAAGACATATCAGTCAATAAAGATGATAAATTGTGAAACTGTGCAGTTTTCACACGTTCAAGGAAAGTGCACTACCTCTTTACTCACTTCTGTCAGACGATTTCACTGATCTTATCTGTAAAAGTAAAAAAATACAACTAAGAGATCTAATTGTGCAAGACACTTTTATAAATGTTTTTTTTTTTTTTTCCTTTGTGAATTCACACAATAGATTATTTTTGTCAGAGAAGTGGAAATATTCTGCAATTCATAATGTGTCCACATGATGTCACCCTTAGCTTCCGTTTTCACTTCACAACTCTGGTGGATCTGCACCAGAGAGTTATGATATAAACCAATGACGGTCAATTCTTGATTTTACTTTCTTCTGAAGTGTAATAAGTGAAGACAGCAGGCAAAACATGAGTTGGGCTTGTTGGAAATACATATGTAATAAAAAGAAACATTGTGCTCAGGTCAGTTGTCTCTCAGTGGTTATAAGGACCGTCAGGGGGTCTTAAAGAAAATGTAAGGGCTCTTCAGATACAACAGTTACACAAAATAAAGTGCTTTTTTAAAGTTTTATTTTCAGAAATACTCAATACTTTCACCACTTGAGTTTTGTAAAAAATCCTTTAAATGAAATAATCTGGTTGGTCCTCACTTCAGTTCAGGTCGAAATATCCCAGCAACCCATTGTATAGATGGCCATGAACTATTCACAGTGCCCTTAAGATAAATCCTGCTGACTTTAGAGATCCTCTGACTTTTCATCACTATTTGATGGATTGCTGTATAATTTTGTGGAGACATTCATGTCCCCCTCAGGATGAATTACAGTAACTCTGGTAAATCCAACTCTAACATTCTAATCAGGCCCAATTTTTTACTTGTATTATACTTTGGTTTATTACCAAATATCCACAAAGGTTTTCTGCAAGACGTTCCCATCAGCCACTTGAGGCTGGCACCAAAACCAAGTCAATTTCCATAAGCTCCAATGTTAAAATGCCCAAATTTACAGCAGAAATAAACATGTTTACAGCCTGCTACAGGTCTCTGCTTTGGTCTCTATGGCTAATTACATTACTAAATGGAAGTATTCAAATAAAAACTATGCTGGACATCCGTTTTGAATGTATGTTCAGCTTTTCATTTGGTGCATCAACAAACACAACAAATAATCATTCAACTGCAGTCCACCAAGCAGATGACTTAATTAACACTGGGTTGTAAGAGCCTTGTATGTATGCAGATAATGGATTTTGCTGGCTTTGTTTGTGTATCAGAGGCAGATTATATCAGTAGTAATCATAGTTATAATACCCCTGAGTGTGAGCTGCAGTTTCTCTGTTCCGTTAATATTCCATGTGGTAACACTGCTTCAGGCACAATTAGAAATGTATTGTTGTCATCATTTGTCCGACTACTTCCCTTCTTGTCTGTCTTCACTGAAACTCTCCTAGGAGATCTACTCCTTTTAGTTATGTGCCCCACATTCTGTGAAAATCGCCATTATTAATTCAGCTTAAGAGGCCCTCAAGTGGTGTAAGGCTGTGTGTGTGTGTGTGTGTGCGCGCATTGATGTGTGCTCAGGCAGTCTTGTACTCACACACTCATTTGTGTGTAAGCTTGCTGTTGCTTGTGGCTGAGATATATGCCAAAGAGACAGTATCTAAGCTTCAGGGCTCCTGCTGACACACTGACCTCACACTGAAAGGAGTTGGCACCAAAAGAAAACCAAAGCTCCGATTCACACTGAAGCATGAGGCTGGTGCGTTCAGATGAATTCACTCAACAGAGCGTTTTTGAAAATTCTTGGATTTGAAAAATACGACCTTATTGTGGACAGAGGAAAATGGGTTTTCAGATTACATAATAGTCTCCCTATTTACTATAGTGCACTACATTTACTTTCTGAATTCTGACTGTGTGAATGTATCCACTGTATGGTGCCCGCAAAAGTTGAGAGCGACTCTATAGCTTTTAACACAAGATGATGAAAAGCAAGTGTCCAAAATATCCACTGCTCACTACTCAGTAAGCTACTGAGTGTCCATTACAAGGACCTGCACAGGTAACTTTGAGTGGCTTTTGCACCCCCAAATGTTATGTGTCACTTATCACCATGTACCTGAATCGTGTAGAATATGGTCATTTAACAGAATTTTCAAATTTGTAAATAGTTTTAAATTTGAAAGATTAAACTGGGTTGGCTGTGGCTCAGGAGTCCGCTAATCGGAAGGTTGGGGCGGTTCGATCCCCGGCTCCTCCCACCGGTCCTTTGAGCGCGATGCTGAACCCCAAATTGCTGCTGGTGCTGTGTCATCAGTGTGTGAATGTGTGTGTGAATGTGGCATGTAGTATGCAGCGCTTTGAGGGGTCGAAAGACTAGACAAGAGCTATATAAGTACAGTCCATTTATCAAATCCTGCATGCTCCTTGTAAACAAACACCTGTGAGCAACCATCCATTCATTTCCGAAACCACTTGTTGTGTTCGGTCTCTGCCCCAGCATGCACTGGGCAAGACACCTGAGACAAGCCACCAATAAGGGGCCTAACACGGTTTACCTCAAACAGTTACAGTTTCACCAAATCCTTATGAGGGCAAACACATCATTAAATCTGATTTGCGTAATACATGTAACTCTCATGTAGGATTAGTGGTATTGAGTAGAAATAAAGACCTCCCTTGACTCAATGACACAGGCTAGCAGGCTGCGGTCTGCCCAGATTGTAAAAAGCTTTCGTGGTATAGCTCAGTCAGTGCTCTGCTGAAAGATGCTACAGTATTGCAGTCATTTCTTTTATTTCCTGCTATGTGGCTGTGAAAGCCTTACAAGTTGCCTTTAGGCTTTTAAGTGGAACCATGCTGTTATTGTGCCCCGATCTCCAAACCCTACTTCATGTAGGGAGCATATGCTTTAGAAGCCAAAGCCCTAATCAACAGATCAACATGTATTTGAAGACCTGGCAGGGATTAGGTCGCTCTCTATCTTTTTTTAAAAGAGCCTTAAGAGCGCATGGGGTCCCTCAGAGGGGAACTGTGATTGTGTTCAGGAATAATTCCTCATGCAGAGACAGCAGCTGTTCTCGTCTGCCATCTAGCTGTTTTGTTTCCATGAGAGCAAGGTGGTCACGGGGACTTTTAAGCAAAATAGTGTGACACAGCAGTTTTTATGGAGATAGCCTTCAAAATACCGCACGAATAATAAAACGAGGCGATAATATAAGTGCTGTGTGGGCCTCAATGTCAATACGTGCTTGGGAACTTGAGGTCATTCGAAGCTTGGAGATTGTCTCGTATGTTTTAAAATGGTCAAGCTGCTATAGGTTAAAAAAGTTTCTATAAGGGAACGAATTTTGATGGATGATGATGAGGTTTTCATTCAACAGCGAGAGCGGCAATCGAGAGGGAGAGCCGAATGTTACATGACAAAATTTGGTAGCCAGTTTTGAACCCAGAACGGTAAAAGTAAGTCGTGCAGCATCATCCTGCTATCATATAAAACCCTCAGGACACCATTAGCAGCAGTACTTTTCCAAAGAGGTGTATTACTGCTGCCCCACTTCCCCTTCCCTCGCCGCCTGGGACTACCTTTAGGGGAGCGCTGCATCTTTACTCCCAGGGTGACACAGATGGTCTGTGCATTATACAACATGACAACTGCATTAAACATGAACACAGCTGTACTGTGTCTACAAAGCACAAATCATCGGTTTATGGAAGCTCTCTCGTACTGGAGGTGCTTTTATTCCAGATGCTTGAACAGAATGTGTGGAGGATGCTCAGTGTGAAGGATCCTTTTAAACACCAGCACATCATCATTGTACATGTTTGTTGGCAGCTGCATGTTCTGACCAGACTGTGTTTTAAGCTGATAACATTTTTTTTAAAAATATGTTTTATACGAAAGACATTGTTCTGCATCTTAAATATGTCAAGACTCCTACTGATGCAATTATGAATTAGTGTTTTTTTAAGTCTCATTTTGATGTTACAGGACTTTTCATAAAATTAAGGTTAGAAAGCTGCATTTAATCCTCAGACGACCAAAGTGAGGATTTAGATGTTATGTCTCTCTGCTTGTCCTTACATGTTTGATTACTGAAGCAGCCTAATCCACTAATGTAACAAACAGGGAAACATGAGTAATAACATTCAGAGATTTGAGGGACATAAAGTGTATATCAAGGGGTTTATATATTGATAAGGGGATCAAAACATTGTGAAGAAACTGAAAGGGATAAATCACATAATTCCTTATTCTTACATTGACCTCTATAGGTGCTAACAGGCATGGCCACTAGTTGGTAGCCTTGCCCTTTTTATTTTATCCAGAGACAGAGGTTTGTGAGCACTACAACCTCATCTGTAAGGCTATATTAATATTTCTTATTCTCATCAAAACAGACTGGATTGGAGTTTAATTACTACAATGTAATAACAATCTCATGTGCTATGTTTTCACTCAGCATGAGCCAACATTTTTTTCATATTGTGCTAAAAAAAAACAACTTTTTAAGTGAATGTATCACCTCTGTTAATAGAAAAGCCAATGTTGACTGAATAGAAATATGAATCATGGTGGGAATACAGTAGGTGACACCACGCCTCGGTTTGCCTCTGTGTGTGGAGGGTGGGAGGAGAGAGAGAGAGAGAGAGAGAGGGGGCAGGTACCAGACCTTGAGCCCCTCCTCCAGAGGAGCCACGGTGCGCCTCTGTTCCAATGGAAACAGGTGGGATCCCCGGACTCCTCCAATCACACCCCTCCCTCCATGCGGGTGGGGGTTGGGGGTGGGGGGAGTCCAGGGCAAGGAGGCAGGACCCAGCCAACTTCCACACTCACAGCAGGAAAAAGTCGGGAAAACACATCTGTCCCCCGCATGTTGCTGTTTCCTGGTGGCCCTGCGTGAGTTTTTGGAAGCTGTTGCGGTGAGTACCAGCGGGGCAGCGGTTCACCGGAGCGCTGCCGAACGAGTTGCCGCCACTTGGCCGCTGTTGAGGGCGGTGTAGCAGCGCCGCAACGCCGGGACGGTTCGCTGCGATGGAGAACATGTACTAACCGGATTTTTTTGGAATTGTTTTTCCTTGGATTACTTGCCGGTTAAACCGAGCCGCCTCGGCTTTTTTTTTTATTTTTTTTTATTTTTTTTGATAATCTCTTCGGTTCCTCTGGTAGTGTGGAATAGTAAATACTTTTTTTTAAAAATGCCTGCAAAAACCAAGTATAACCTCGTTGATGATGGGCATGATTTGAGGATCCCGTTGCACAACGAGGAAGCGTTCCAGCATGGGATCAACTTCGAGGCAAAGGTAACTTTAACGTTACATTCACACACAGCTGTGAGGCGTTAAATAAGCCTGCGTCAGCCTTTAACGTCTTATTCACGGATAACGTCTGTTTTTGGTGTTGTCCTCGTTGGACAACGTGTCCACAAAGACATTTTAGAGACACTGTACTTCTCTGTACAGGTTTTATATATTTAAAAGACAGAGCTCGTAAAGCAAGTTGTTTAGCTAGTTGAGAGGTTGAAGTTGCGCAGAGTTAATCATTACCTTCAGTGGACACTTGAAGTGTTTCACAAACGTTAAATAAAACCCAAATGAATTCCAACTGTTGTTTTATTAATGTGTTAATGTACCTGTCATCTTTCACCCCCCCTGCGGCGACAGTACATCGGCAGTCTGGATGTGACGCGGCCGAGCAGCAGAGTGGAGATTGTGGCTGCGATGCGGAGAATACGGGTGAGTGGAGTCTTCACAGAACTCCGTTTAAAATCCGTCCATTTTTCCGTTTATCGCTTTTCAGCTAATGAGCATATCTGGCAGAGTACGAAATGAGGGGTTTTAGGATTAACTGTGGCCCACGGCTGTATTCGGTGATAGTGTGATTGACTAAACGGCGATATCAGGAAAGCATCAACTTTTTGAAACTGGTTTTACTGTCCACTCCTGTGAAGCCAGTTTTGGTTGAAGTTAAATGAAACTGAAGTGATTGTGATCTGGGTTTTTATTTCTGATGCTGAAACTAAAGAGAACACCAAAAATTGTAAAAGTACAATGTGTAATTTTGCCAAGTATCCCATATATTGTGAAATATTGATAATATTGTATTGTTGGACTACTTGGGTGCCCTTTCCCACTGCAGCCCCCCCAGAGAATGGCCTCACAAATCACCAAAATAAAGTAGTGTGTAACAGCTGATTGGACACATTAACTGCAGTGTTATCATTTAGAGACTGTGTGAATGCACCTTGGAGTTTAAACCGTGCAGACTTTGTGTTGTCCCGGACTTGGCTTGCCTGGTGGGGGGGGGGTTAGGTCTCCCATGTGCTCCATCACTATTTTGAAGTTTCCTTTGAAGCGATGCACTGGAGTGTGATCCCCCCCCCTCGCTCCCTCATTCTGCTGTGTAAACCTAAGATTTACAGCTTTTTCAGCTCCAGAAAGTAGACTTAATCTTAATCAGTGTGTCTGCCAGCTTGGCAGCAGCTGGCGTAGCAACCTAATACAGGTTGTGCCAGTGGTGTAGAGGTATTTGAGGATTATGGTGATGAACTGGTAGGTGTGCTGGGATTAATTGGACGATTCCTTCAAAACCACACACACACACACACACACACACACACAGTGAGCACACATTTTTGTTTGTATTTTATTACTTAATGGTTTTAAAGGAATTTGAGAGTGCCATAAAGCAGCACTAAAATAAGGGTTATGCCGAATGAATGCACCATCAGTTCACTTTTCCTGACATTTAATTTCAATAACTGCCTGTTTCTATTAAATTGACTGTAGGATAGCAACGCCAGCGGCAGTCGGACCACAGTCTTTACCTGCGTGCTGTTATGTGATGAAGTTCCTTCCAGCAGGACAGCCACTCTCGTATACATGTGCACACACAGAGTTGAGCATAAGGTGCAAACTGTCCTTATTGCTGTGACCTGCTCCTATAAAGCGGACCTCCCAGCGTGCTGCCATGGCAGCTGTTGTTGTTGGCAGGAAAACAGGCTTTGGTTTGGCTCCGTCAGTGTGAAAATGGTTTGACACTGGTTTGACAACACAATGGAGGGAAACCACAGGTATCTAACTTGGAAGTCACACTGGAAAGCATGGGACTGCTGGACTAGCTCTGAGGGCATTTGCTTTACTTGGGCAGGAAGTAAGCCAAAGCAATTGATTTAAGAAGAAAATAAAGAAATTAAAACCTTAGTGAGTGAACAACGTTGTTTTGGCAAATTAAGAGTGATTGACCTATTTGGCAGGAGGATCGTGGCTGCTTTACATCAGATAGTTTTCATATTGATTAATACATGCTCACAGCAACCACAGAATTCTGACTGTTACATAACATGTTGTTTTTTTAAATTGTCATTCAGAATCTGAACCCTTTTTATTGAATCCTTGTGGCATAAGAAAATAAAACCAAAATATGTTCAAAGCAACGTTATTATATTTATGTCATCCCTCAGATTTAATAAAACTATAAAATATACAAAAATGTCTCCCCTTCCACAATATAAATGCTGGTTAATGCGTGAACTGATTTCTAAAAACTGGCTCTTCTGTGGGATTATTTATGACTACAACTAAGGACACAACATTTACTTCATGCTTACACTATACTGCTGTGTCACCACAATTCATGCATTTTATGACATTTTCCTTGAATTCCCAAAATTTTGTCCCATTTGAGTCGGACGTTTAACCAAAACAATGTGAATCGATATCATGGTCTTTTTTCATGTAAGGCAGAGACAACAAAAAAAAGGCTTTTAGTTAGAGAAATGATTGTTTTTACTCTCTAAACTGCTGGATGTTTTTACTGTCAAGCACATACAGAAAGTGCTGGGGAAGTATTTGAGCCAAAGCATTGTAAAGGCACAGATCAGAGGCTTCTACTCTATCCGTTGAATGAGCAGGAATATACAGGTACACTAAAACAATGACACAGTTTTCCATCCGCCGGTCGATGGCGGTGAATAGAAAGATTTCCAGACCGCTCGAAAGCCTTTCTGTTCAGTCTCTACAAGAAGTGGGTTAGGGCCCACTGCAGGTATTGATTAATCAAATTATCGAATGAGAACAACTTTTGCTTTATTAAAGCAATAGCAGCAGTATAGAAATAGTAAATATACAATAGAGAAAATAAGACCGGTCTGTTAAACGGTTTCAGAGTTTTCTCGAGGATTTCTTTCAGCAGTGGAGGGAAAGACTTCTGTTCTAACCCCACTGTACTGGTGGTACTTTCAAAGTGGGATATTAGTTTTTTTTTTTACTAAAGTAAACAATCTGATCCTTCCTCCACCTCTGCTTAGCACACCCACAGCCTAACCTGCGTTACCAGCCAAGCCTTCCCCTTTAAGAAAGGTGGGCTTGTGGGTAATTTGTGCCGTCCTTTTTTCGGAAGTGAGTCTTTCCCGGTGTATAATACCATAGTTATAATACCAAAGTTACTGAAACAGTAATGTTGCGGTAATGTTAACGTTACTATGGTGTGTAGCTTGTTAGTGGGTTTACAGCAGACACACTGTACAGAGTTTTTCTTCATTTATTCTGTCCTGTCTCTTCGCCCCACGCTATTTTCTCTCTCCAAAGTACGTTGTGCGACAGTCATTATCCGCGCAAAACACAGTGAGCTGGCTGTATATGCAAAGAATATGCATCGATGATTTTTAGTAACCGAGCTACTAAATCAGCGAAGAATCGTTTCAACCCTAAAGTGTAAAGGGTCATCTGGCAGAAGCTTGATTAAATTAACTACAATTATTTTTACTTAATTCAGTCATGACAGTGCTTTTTGGCTGCATCAAGCATAATCTTTTCTTACCAAGTACTTCAGGGAGAATGAACCACAGACTCATCTAGTTTCCAGTTTGTGCTTTCATGTAACTTTTGATGCCCTGTGGAGTTTCTGAAATAAAGTTTTGTAAAATGATGCTCCCCACAGTGTCTGCTCTTTTCCAAGATTCCTATCAGCCTCTCCTTTCTGCATAGTCAGTCAGAGCTATGCTGGTTGCCAGGCAACCGGTTGATGTATGGTGTCATTGTTCATTGTGTGCATGAGTCACCTGTAAGCCAGGAGCTGATAACAAACTAATGACATGGCAGGCAAAGCAGGAAAAAGCCACCTACCAATACGTGCGGCGCTGCAGGATCGGGTGTAGTTTGTGGGTCTCGTATGTGCACGCAAACACACACACACACACACACACACACACACACACACACACACACACACACACACACACACACACACACTTTGTGTTGTGCATGTTGTTCCTGAATGATTAATTACGCTTCCCGGAAACAAATGGGGAAACCTAGTTTATCACAGATGGAAAAACTATTTAAGCTTCACTTGGTGAAAAAAATGTATTGCTTAAAAAGTTTTGTTTATTAGTTCATGAAGTGTATCTGAGTTGTTCCCTTTTCTGTTTTAAGGCTGCAACTCCAGATTACTTTCATTATTGATTAGCCTTCTGAGCCTTTTGTGATTATTTGTTGAATTAATTATCTAGTCTCGAAAATGTCAGAAGAAGTCAGAAAAGATTTGTTGAAGCTGAAACAAGGAATGCGTGACATTTCTGCTGGATTAATTACATAAAAGTAGACTTGATTAACAAAGTTGTTGATTCATTTTCTGATGACAAACTAATAACTTGATGGGCTAATCGTTTCAGTGCTAGGTCTGTTATTTTCCATGTTTTAGCTGTGAAAGGTTTGAAAATAACCATCTGATACGGGTTGAATGAGCTTTAGAAAACAATCTTACCTCCTTTTTTTCTCACTGAGATGAACATGCTGCTTAATATAAAGGTCCTTTTATAAATGACATTTTTTATTATCATCATCTGGCAAAGTCTGGTAGCAGCTTATCTGGTTAAAAGGAGAGGAGACCTTTACAGTGAATTAAAGGGATTAATTTCTCATTAATCTGCCTTTGCTGGGTTAACTGACCGTAGGAAGATTGAGCAGCGTGGGATGAGAAGATTAGATGTGTCTGAGGTGACGTCTGAGGAGACTGAACGAGCACAGCGTCGGTGCTGGAGAGGAATAAAAAAAATGCTTTGCCCATCCCTCTCGCTGCCCGGCTGAACAGTGCAGACCGGGACCGTTGTGTGTTCACCGGGCAGCTAACAAGCATCTTTCTTAACACCAGTTAACGTGGTTAGAAAACCCAGTGGAAGTTCATTAATCTGCATTTCACTGTGCACATAAGTATCTTGTTACTGTCTTTACACTGTTCATGAGTTGCACAGTGTAGTTGGATCTGGAGTGCAGAGATAGACAGGAGGCAGTATATTAGCATTTTAATGATGCATCGCTGGAGTGCAATAACATGAACAGAATCAGTGTAGTATCTGGTTGCGAGCCATGATCTGTACACTGTTGACCTGTGTTAGATTGCGTCTGTGTTTGCCATATGCCCATATGCTCTGTTGATTTATGCTTATCTACCGCCAAGGCCTAATCTCACTCACAACACTTGTACAACTAACTGATATCAGGATAAAGGGACAGCATAATATACATGTTAACAGTAAACTCTCATGATACACTAACTGATTAATAAAGTAACAGTTTTCAGCTCTAACAGCGATATTCACACACGTCTTGGAACCGTAAATTGTCTAATTTAATGACAATCAGGGTACTTTATCATGATAGAATACTATGAGTGTTAATTTATATGTCTATAAAAAAACAAAAAATATTGATTACTTTAAAAGCAATAACAAGCA